GGGGGGGGGGGGGGGGGGGGGGCAGGGAGAAGGGGTGGATATTGTGTCTCTTCTTGAATCAGTCCAGCAAAACCAGATTACTCTGTTGACTTCGTTTCCTAGTTACTTTCAAGTGGTGGGATTTATTCATCCCCTATTGATTGTTATTTGAAAGGATCCTGAGGCTATACAATGGCACTGAAGACAGTAGACAATGACATTTAAGCAACTTTAATGACCATTTAGCATTATCCCAATGGTAAATTCCAGATCACCTTTTAAGGGGACTTTGTGTGTGTATATTGTTTGGGAATTCCAAGCATATATTTGCCAGCTAACTTAAGGCATAGGGGACACATTTGAAGGTTCCTTGGCCTGGGAAGTACCAGGTATAAAGGAAATGATGGTTGACTAGAATTCAGCATTTTATTTTTAGATAAAGATTTGTGAGAATTAAGACTTCTTCTCCCCCCCGCCCCCACCCCGGGGACGCATATTCAACTTTAACTTCTGTTTCTCCCCAGGCACAGCTTACTTTATTAAAACTAGCAATATGTTTACATGTTGTAAAAATATTTGTAGAAGTATTTTGAAGTGTTCCATTTTATGTTTAATGCTAGAGATGTTAAATAGTCCATTATCCATATTTTTTTTCCATTCTGATTCATAAAAAGTGACTCAATTAATGCCATTTATGTTGACTTTTTTTTTGCTTTAAAGTCATTTGTTACCTGAAATCATTAGATACTATTTATAACCTTTATGGCCGCTGATTAAAAGTGTAATACTTTCTGTTTGCTTCTAAAACAAAATAGTCTTGGTGTCATCCAGTTAGGAGGATGGAGAAGAAGCTGTCCAATCACTTGCTGAAGAGTGGGCTGGAAATTAAAACAGGGTTGGAAATTAAAAAAACAGTGATAATAATTCACATGGACTACAGTTCTTTGTATTTTTAGCTCATGGAGAAAATTCAAGGGCCTATAAGAAAATTTTGGAGTGTTAACCTTGATCAGTCTTTTTGTTTTTTTGACACTAACTTGATTATGCCATTGCTGTATTTTAATTGTCTTTATAATGTGATACAAGAAAGATCAATCTGCACTACTTTGGTTTATGTGACTTAAAATTACTGTTTTCTAGAAGAATGATCACTGTGCAGTTAACCATTGAAATGATTTTCCAGAGTACACCTTGAATTATATTTTCACAATAACTGTTTGCAAGGAGAAAATTTACAATTACTGCATAAAAACTGGTGTGGAAATTTTCATCCTAACTGCCCAAAATATACAAATATCTCTTCCCTATGATAAAATGTACAAATAACCTTTGTGGAAATTATAAGCTAAGTATCGTATATGGTAATGCAATCTTAATCAATGGTTAAAAATGAAAGGAGGCGGGGCTTACTCTGTTAAATAATGTCAAACCATAAATGATTTCGGCTTTCCAAGAACATCTGTATGAAAATATAGCAAGTGAAAAGTAGAAGTTGAAAAAGCCTTAATTTCACATATGGCCGGGTAATCAGAACTCTGCTACAATTTCCAGCTGGACTGAAGTACATGGTATCATTAAGATATTGTCTAAATGTTGCATAATTACATGTGAACAAACTTTTGCCATGCCTACAGGATAGCCGGTCAGCCAACCCACCAAATGGTAGCCTGTTAAATATTAGGGTATCTAACCTCTGCAAAGTGTCAGTTCCTTGTCCAAAAACCACATTTCAGTCACGTTTTCCTAAACAAGTTATTAATTACTCTCAATACACAAAGCTGTTCTTTTGAGGTTTGCTTATTTGAAGATTAATTTTCTTTGTTACTTTTGACCCTAGTATTATTGCTGCTTAACTACGGTAACAGCTTATCTCCGAGGTTATATGCTTGTGATGTCCTGGGTAATTAAACAACTGTTTCACTGGCTTTTTGCCAGCAAAATGCTAACAAAAGGAAAGCAAGGACATCACCCATAAGCATCACAAAATCATTTTTAACTTGTATCTCCAAAGCTGGTTCCCAGAAAGTCTATGGTTCTGCAAATACCGAATATGCTAGATAGTCTTCTCAATTTTGGTGATTATTATAATTTCTTTTTTTTTAGGGGGAGGGGCTATGTTTTTTGTTTCTTTGCTATTATATGAGAGTGGAGAATAAAGGCAGCGGAGATGAATTATGTTTCTTCTGCTAGAAGTCTGAGAAAGCTTGAATAATTTAGAATAGCCATTGTATATCTGTCACGGGATATGTGCAGGCTCATTTAGGTTTTGTTTTATCATTCTTTACATCTAGAGCTTTGCCCTTGAAACATTACCACCCGCCTCCATTCTGGCCTCCTAGAAAGGCTGGATACAGTGTTAGGTACCCTTGCAACTGGGACAAGGGGGCTCAGTTCTAGATGAGAGTAAAACAGCTGTGAGCTTCTCCCAAGGTTGTCACTTGTGGAAAGGGGGGATCTAATGAAAAGAAAATGTATCCCTAAACTCCAGACAGCTAAGGATAGATATTCCCAAAATGGAAAGCCACAGAGCTTATGAGCCTTTCTGGGAAAGGAGTATGGGAGAGAACAGAGAAGTCAATATTTACTGGGTCTGTATTATGTGTCCTAGCTCTTTAAATTTATATCTTATCTAATACTCATCATAGTCCTATAATTTACTATCTACATACTGTCCAAGGTCATTCAACTAGAGATTGGCAGAGTCAGAATTCAAGCCCGTTTGGTTATACTATCTCTCCTATTTCCTCTCTGTGCTGCTGGCAACATTGATACTGATTCCTTAGAATTAGAAATCCCCAAACTCTAAAACACAAATTATCCAAAATCTTAAATGCTTACTGCTGTGAACACCAACAGTTCTTCAGAGTGAAATTGGAACAGAGATAAAATAGTAGTAGAACTGAAGTGAAATATGTTACAGATATCACTGCAGGTAGTAGCTTCGTATCAGAAAATGTTAATGTGTTCTGTAGGTGAAACCTCTCTTTTGATATTATGTTTGGGGATATAATTGTTTATGGACACAAAAAAATACACATACATCAATCTCACTTATGTTAACAGAGGTCATTAGGAATACATGGCTATTTAAGAAATATCCATGAATGTCATTGTCTATAGTAATTGTTTATAGCTGAGAGCCAAATGTTTAATCATTCCCACGTGTAATAAAATAATTTGATTGTAAATACCACTGGGAAATCAGGCTGTGGCAGAAACTTCTGATATACGACTTTGAGGACAGAATCTTAGAGACCTAAAGTTACGTTAAAAAAGCTATTTTTTTAATTTCTTTAAAATCACTCTTCAAATCAAAAGGGTACTTAACCATATAAAAATGAAAGATTATTGTCTAGAATTTAAGGCTTGCATTGCTGCTTTCTAATCAAAACTAGAGCTTGTTGAATGAAGTTAAGTAAAGTGAGACAAATAATTGTTAAGAAATGTAGGGACTCTACTATGATGTACTAATAAATACACAAGAGTTTTCTGGAAAGGAAACCTATATACATTTTATGACTTCCATTGTGTCTTGTTTAAATTGTGGTGGTTTCTAGAGTTTGGTTGCATAATTTATAACCGGCAGCATTTAATCATGAGCATGGAGGATTTATGAAGGTGGAAGGCACTGTATTTAAGATTTACATGACACTGTGTTATTACCATTACTGCATTCCTACCATATGGGCCCTCCACCTTGGTGGCTTTATCATAAATCTATTAAAAATGCACAATTAGGGAGAGTTCCCTCTTCATAAACCTGATTTATAATCACCTACTAGGAGACACCCAAGAAAACAGTTGACAGGAATTAGAGTATGAGAGTTAAGAGACACCAATATTTAGGTCTTGGGAATTTCAGTAATCTATTATCCAAAGATTCAGACAATTCTTTAAAAA